TTAGCTACTTTTTGCAATCGTTTTAGATTCTATTGAACCTTTAAGAGATTTATACATTTACCTTTATATCTATGTACTTTTGTCAATTGTTCAGTGTTTTATAGGTAACCTATAATAATGCACGTGTAATTGCATTACTTTGTACTTTGTACTTTTTTCTTTGTACTTTGTACTTTGTACTTTGTACTTTGTACTTTGTACTTTGTACTTTGTACTTTGTACTTTGTACTTTGTACTTTGTACTTTGTACTTTGTACTTTGTACTTTGTACTTTGTACTTTGTACTTTGTACTTTGTACTTTGTACTTTGTACTTTGTACTTTGTACTTTGTACTTTGTACTTTGTACTTTGTACTTTGTACTTTGTACTTTGTACTTTGTACTTTGTACTTTGTACTTTGTACTTTGTACTTTGTACTTTGTACTTTGTACTTTGTACTTTGTACTTTGTACTTTGTACTTTGTACTTTGTACTTTGTACTTTGTACTTTGTACTTTGTACTTTGTACTTTGTACTTTGTACTTTGTACTTTGTACTTTGTACTTTGTACTTTGTACTTTGTACTTTGTACTTTGTACTTTGTACCCAGCTAGCACATAACGTTACCAAGCCTTTCGGCGATGTTGTTTTAAGGGAACATAATAACATACCCATACAACGTAATTGCAACGTTAATGAGAAGTTGTTGAGGGAAATCAAAACCTCGCGAAACATCTATTTGTTACTTACGTATTTAACCTGCCTGTTATGATAACACAACGTAATTAAGTAACTTGCTAAAAAAGTTTCCACGAGAAGTACTATGGACTTTCGAACGTAGCCATTCGTTTGTCATAACCAACAAAACATAAAAAAATGTCACTTGTCACTTTTTCTTGTACGTATTTCAGATTTTAAAGAAATTGGAAACTATACGTTTGAATAAGTTTGGTAAGTTGTTTTCTTCTTTTCAATAAATTTTCTAATTTTCTAATTTATTGTCTGTTGTTTTAGATGGTAAAATTTCAATTTCCAAATACAATAAAAAATAAATCATTGTAAACAAGTAGATACAATTAAATGATGAAATATTTATTTTACACGATAATAGGGATCTTATTGATGCCTTAATACTATAGAAGTAACGATATTAAACAATGAAAGTATCGATATTTAGGCACTGAATTACTGAATTACCAATACTATCGCCATAGTGATACTTAGAAGCAAGTATTGTATCGCTATGTGTGTGGTCAGAGATTATAAGGTTTGTTCAAGTATTTGTACTGAAATATTTTAGTTTTTGCATGTGGTGAAACTTGGTAATATGATTAAGCGTTACCACTGTTTTTTTGTTATTTAATTATAAGGTAAATTGCCAGTTATTGACACTATAACTTGTACCAGGTAGAGTACCAGTAGAGAAAGAAAAGGTGTCGACTACAGAATATACTTTACTGATGCACTCTTGTTATTAGTTAAGTTGCCTACTCCGTCCTGTTGAATGGGGGTTGCCAGCCGTTTAACAAAAATCTTTTACTTTTTCGATACTTTGTTACTCGAGACTTATAAATATCAATATCTTTAACATAATATCGAACAGTATCGATGCCTCTACCACAAAGTATCTCACATGATACCGGTATTGATACCTTTGACCAATACTCAACCCTACTCCCAATTATAAAAATACAAAAACAGAGAAGTCATATACTGCCATCCTAACAAGAGAAGTCCTATCTGAAAATTTATATTCATTATCTTTTAAACCTTTTTTTGTATAACTTTTTAACATTTTAGTACCTTTGTTACAAATAAGACATTCCTTTTCAGTATCGAGAAAGATAAAATGTAGACAAATACACATAAAAAAAAACTGCTAATTTTGCAGATAAAACCTTTCTTGCTAGAACAGCAGTGTAGAAGTGCTCATGTAGTTCACTAAAGATAAATAACATTTAAATTTGTTACGTTTCAGTAAATTAAGTATTACCATTGCTGGACAGTAGTGACGTTTTGGTGGATAAATACAGCATTTCACTGGATATATATACCTATGCCATTTTGCTGTACGTTTGCTGCACAATACCAATTGCTGGACAAACTTTAAAAATGCTTTACAATACAGAAAAATTGCTGTAAGTATGGTCGCCCTAGTGTAATAATATTTTAATCACTAAAAATAAATTTTAAAAATATTGTGTTTTAGGTTTCCTTTGTGCTGGATTATAATTCTAGTAAAAATCTCAGGAATTTTAGAAGCTAAAGTTAATACAGAATTGGTTGAAGAAGAATATATAACATCTGAGATTATTTCTTTTTCTTTCATAGCAGAATATCATGCTAAAAAACATTGTTCTGTATAAGTTGAACATCCATTATTAAGTATAAAATTTGTAAAAGTCAAAATAAATGTTATTATTTATTTAAAAAAACAAAGTAAGTAAAAATCAACTAAAAATAGGTGCAACGATTTAAACGAGCATATTTTTTATTATATATATTATTTTCTTAATAATAATTAAACAAGTAAATTTATTATCTACAAAGTTATTTTTACGGAAGAAACTATGTAATTAAGTTCACATATTTATTTGTTTACAGTACGCTACTGATATATAAAGTTCTAAATGGTAAAAATATCAAAATAAAATAAAAAAGAAATTAATAAAATTGTCACAGTATAAAAATGAAGTCAATAGTGTAATAAAAGTTGACACTTTAAAAAATAAACCTTTTAAAATGTCATAATTTGAAAAATACTTATTGTAATTGGACATCAGTTGGTCTACAAATAAATTCTGTCCATAGTTAGTTCTATGAGCATTTACATAAAATAGTTTCATATGCCTAGTAAGTCTGGCAGGAACAAGGTATCTAATAAAGTGTACCAGGCTGTCACTATCAATCAAACCGTTCAATAACTTATACAGGAAAACAAATGATGCTTCTCGACATCTGCATTCCAAACTCTTATAGGTCCCTCTCAAAAATAACATCAAGATCATTTATAGTTTGCTCAAAACTTAGTTCAGAACCTGCAATGACAATCATGCATAATGATATTAGCTGTTTTATTAAACCTTATGACTTTACATTTATCAATATTCAGTTTATATCATATTAAAACTATGATTAGTACCAGTTGTAGGCAAATATCTTTTTTTAGCATCGTACAACTGCCATCTTAATAAAAATCTAGTGACTTTTGAAATATACCTTATATAAATACACTTTTTACTACTTTTGTACAATCGTGCACCATTTTAGCTACCAGTGAACCTTTGCAATATAGGTACCTTATTATACTCTTTCGTGCAAGCGTTCAGTGTTTTAGATTCTAGTGAACCTTTGAGATATTCCTTATATACCCTTTATACCAACTTTTGTCCAATTTGTCAGTGTTTTTTTTACCTATATTATTAATACCTACCTCTACTTGTATGATATTGGTTCTTGATTTCAAAAGCTTTTTAATAATAAATTTATACAATTTTTTATTTTGTTTTCTTCAGATTTTACTATATCCTCAATATACTATTTTGAATATAGTGTATCCAAGGATGGACATAACTATACTTGTAAAGATATTTATTTTAAATTTTTCAAAAGGTCTTTTTCATAATTTCTCAACGTTAATCGTATTTATTTAACAAGCAAAAGAAATTATGAAGAAGTACTTTTAAATTTAAAATAAATATTTTTACAAGTATTGTTAATTCCATCCGTGGACACACTGTATAATGCTGTAAGAATGAATTCACATTATAACATCTATAGAAAGTTTCAGAGCAACTTTCAGGGTAAGTACCGTAAAAGTGCTAGTGTGATGTTTTCCGAACTTCACTTTTTAACTTCTGTGAGATGTGCTATAAAAGTCTTGCCGTTGCGGACATTCGGTGGTTGCAGGGATGATAGGGTTACATTAACAGTACATTGCATGCGAGCTTAAAGAGCCTAAAATTGCAGCTTATTAACGTAGATGGGATGTTTTTGTGCTAGCTGGGTACTTTGTACTTTGTACTTTGTACTTTGTACTTTGTACTTTGTACTTTGTACTTTGTACTTTGTACTTTGTACTTTGTACTTTGTACTTTGTACTTTGTACTTTGTACTTTGTACTTTGTACTTTGTACTTTGTACTTTGTACTTTGTACTTTGTACTTTGTACTTTGTACTTTGTACTTTGTACTTTGTACTTTGTACTTTGTACTTTGTACTTTGTACTTTGTACTTTGTACTTTGTACTTTGTACATTGTACTTTGTACTTTGTACTTTGTACTTTGTACTTTGTACTTTGTACTTTGTACTTTGTACTTTGTACTTTGTACTTTGTACTTTGTACTTTGTACTTTGTACTTTGTACTTTGTACTTTGTACTTTGTACTTTGTACTTTGTACTTTGTACTTTGTACTTTGTACTTTGTACTTTGTACTTTGTACTTTGTACTTTGTACTTTGCCTAAAGCCTAAAGATACCGGAATTGCAGCTTATTAACGTAGATGGGATGTTTATGTGCTAGCTTTGTAGGTATATGAAATATCTAAGTACTATAACAAAAGTTTTAGATCGTATTGATCAGAACTACTGGTATATCAGTAAGAATCGTTTGAACCCTCATAAAATTTAATAACTATTTTCAGAAACTATCAGTTAAACCGATCTTATTACGTTTAATGTCGCAGTCATACCTCAAAAAGCTAGACCAGTTATGCCTCAAGGTTCTGTGTTAGGTCCATTTTTCTTTACTCTTTTTATAAATGACATTGATTGGATTTAAATTGTATTCTATATGGCGATGACATAGTATAGTATTTGATTAAATTGGTTTTTCAAAACTTCATCTACGAATATTAAGTTACTTCTTAGGTATGTGTATTTTTATTTTTACTTTATATTAACATAATTCCAGATACTATAATGTTTAATATTTTCTTTTTTCAATAAAAGTACGATTATCTCAAACCGCAATAATAAACCAAATATGGAGAAAATATATTAAAAAGAAAAAGAACCAATAGACATTAAAAACTATTTATTTAAATAAAAAAAATAAAATATAAAATAAAATTAGTATCTTCAATAGCTATGTAATTCGGTGTGAGGATTCTTCGATTTACAAGTCATATGATTCTTCTTTGTGAACTTTAAATAAAAGTTTGTAGAAAACGGCCGCCACTGCTGCCCCCGCCAAAGGACCTACCCAGTAAATCTGAAACAGATGATACCATTAAATTACTCCATATTAAATAAAATTTTACCAAAAAGTTTTGAATGTTTTTTACAAACCTTATCATAAATTAGGGACAATAAATAATGTTTCAATTCGCTAAACATATTTTATGGAAAATGTCAATGTTCAAGTTTAGTATACTAGATTTAATAGGTTTTTTCTAACAGCAGTACATAACCGTTCGGAATTTATCTGTGCATGAGTAGTAAGCAAAATAGAACAATTAAATCGTACTGATCATGCGCAGATAGGTTTGAAACGGTTTTGTACTGCTGTCGGAACAAACCTAATATTAAATCTAATATACGTCACCGATGACGTCAATGACAGGCATTGGTACTACGCACACCAATTAAATTGGTGAACTTTTATTTGACAATTGAAGAAATAAATTCAGACGCCTGATTTTCTTTTTTAATGATTCAGTAATAAACATTTTTCAAACTAAAATTAATGAACTGTCAATTTAAACACATTGTTGTCAAGCATCGTTCGATTTCATTTTAACAAATTATTGAATTTAGGATTAAATTATCAACAAACACTTTTTTAAGAACAAATTTATTGTGAAACGGTAACGCATTGCGATTTTTATAAAAATAGTTGGAAGGCTTATTTAGTAGATTATTTAAAAAGATAACGTGATAATAATGATCTGCTATATTTGGCAACTATTAGAGAACTAAGCACAGATTAATAATGTGTATCAAAATCAAATTAATATAATTTTTTTCTAGCTGCAACACTTAATCTCGATCTATATCTACTTTTAATGCTATAAGGGAAAGTACACTGAGAGGGCATAGTCACTGAGAATTAGGGTTTAGCACAGTACCAAAGCAATTCGCCCAAGATTTTCTCAACTAAAGGTCGAAAACAGGTTGGAGGTTTGTGCTGAGAGATGCCATCACTTCACTTCCGTTTGTTGTGTAAACGCTCTTGAAAAATACAGAAAAAATATGAAATTAGATTTAATGGACCATGCTCCAACGGGTTCCGTAGAATTTGCCCAAGAAGGTATATGGATGAATGAAGAAGTATCTCTTAAATAGTTGCAAAATTTTGTAATACATAGTAGTGATACCTCAAAGCAACGTTTTGTTGCTTTTGGATGGTCATTTTAGCCACAAAAACATAAATGCTTCAACATTTGCAAAGTAGAATAGCATCGTAGTTTTTTTTTGCTTCCCGCCACATTGCATCCACAGGCTTAAGCCCCTAGACGTTAGTTTCTTATAAACAAGAATTAATTATGTGGCTTAAATACCACCCTGATAAAACGGTAACACACCAACAAGTTACCGGAATATTCAAAGAAGCGTATCTTCGAGATGCAACAGTACAAAATGGCCTAAGTGATTTTGCGACTGCTGGAATATTCCCCCCTTAATGAAAATATTTCAGACTCGACGTTTGCTCCTGCGGAAGTAACTGATGTACCAGAGCCAGTGAGACTTTTAGTAACCGTCCAAGAACAATCTGGTACTTCTTCGTCCAAAGAGTCAGTAGTACTACAAGTTATAAAAGTAATTTTAAAAAACCGACTTTAAAATCGTGCAGATCTCTATATCTATAACGTGTGGAGGCACTTAGGCCTCACTAGGCCCATTGTGCATCCTCCTAAGACGATAGGCACCTCCTAGCTCGTAAGCCAGCCTACAGATTTAATGTAGTTGGCAAAGTCGCCAAGAGGTGCTTCTCTTATATCGGCCGATGTTAGCCGATACTCTCCGAACACAAATCTCCTAATAAATAAGAGCGTCCAGCAATCGTAAAGGATGTATTCGATAGTCTCATCTTCTTGTTCGCATCCTCTGCAGAGTTCAGATACTGACAGCCCCATAATATGGAGATGCTTCTGTACTTGGCTATAACCAGCCAGAATGCCTGTGCTAGGCGCAGATTCTGTCTAGTCATAGTCAAGTATTTGTATGCTGCAGTGTTGTTAGAATAACTTATAAACTCCCTAGAAATTCTGCAGTTTCTTGTTTTGTCCCATCTTTCCTTGAATTTCACAAGGAAACGTCCTTTAATCAGATCTGTCACTACCGATTTTGTCAGGCCAATAGAAGGGCCAGGTCCAAAAAGTATTTGGTTGGCTCCTTTTTTGGCCAGTGAATCAGCAAGGCGGTTGCCTTTCGTGTGGCGTGACCTTTGATCCATCTTAAGGTGACCACGTTGCTGAGGTGAGTAGAACTTGTCTGCTATCTCTATAGATGAGCATGTTCTTTTCAGTGATATTGTTTCTGGTGATTTATTTTGCTTCTATGAGAATCCCCGTGAGCTCTATTTAAACTAGACTGGCACTATTGCTCACAGACCATTTTATGTCAAGGTTTAAGAATCTGGAGTATATTTTACATACTGAGCCTTTTGTTTTAGAACCGTCAGTGTAGATATGAATCGTACCTGCCACTTCCGGCTCTTATATTTATTCTGTTACAACTTTATATGGCCTATGGAAGATATATCTCGGTGAGATGGAGTCCATGTTGGCTTGAAGCAGTGGGAGCATATCGAGCGCCTCCTGCCAAAAGCCACGTCTCGCCTCACCAGATCTTACATCAGGTTCTATTTCAATCGTGCGCAGGCTAGTCATTGTCTTCAGAGCAACCTCCTTGATGTAAATATCAAGAGGAGTGAGCCTAAGAATGACTCTTTCATGGCCCTGGGCGGTATTGTTTTCATGGCTCATGTTATGTCGAGACATGCTGTTCTTTGAATTTGTTCTAGTTTACGGACAGCTGTCAATTTTTGGATTTTCGGTACACAGACAACTGTACCGTATGTTAGCATGGGTCTTATGATAGCAGTAAGTCCTTGCGAAGATTTTGGGGGAGAAACCACAGGTGCGCCCTAGGGTTTGGCGGCATTTTTCATAAGCAATGATCTTTTGACTGTGTTTTCTAAATGCGAGTTCCATGATAACTTGCTGTCAAAGGTAAGACCTAAGTACTTCACCTCTGTTGCAAAGTTTAGTTTTGTGTTTAGGAGTTTTGTAGGTTTTAATTCAATTTTCATCCTTTTTCTTGTGAGAAGGACAATTTCAGTCTTTTTAGAATTGATAGACAGTGAATGGCCCTTACACCACTGTTCTATAATTTTAAGAGCTACTTGCATTCTTTTGCATTATTAAGGCGGCTGATGAGGGTGTCGAGGACCATATTCCACAGTAGAGGTGATAGCACCCCTCCCTGTGGACATTACCTCGCAACCAAACCACTTATCGTGTAGATGCTATCACCACATCTTGACCAAATTTATAGGAGACCATCCCTGAGGTACTTATTTACTAAAAAAAAAAATAGAATCGTAGAAATCAGACAAGGTGGTAAAGAATTATTGCTTAACATACATAAAAAAATAAAGAGTTTTGGGATTTTCTAATGTACCCAATTAATAAATCTGGACCATCAAATTGATATGGGACGACCACTGAAGTACCCCCTTTCTAACATAAAAAGAATCATTGAAATAGGACACCGTGTTAAAGAATTATTGCTGAACATACATAAAAAAATATTACGACGAATTGAGAACCTTCTCATTTTTTGAAGTCGGTTAAAAAGAGCCAAATGGACTTTCAGTAACCGCCCAAGAACAACCTGGTCCTTCATCGTCCAAAGACCTAAGCATTTCCGAACTTTTCCTATTGCCAAAGACAACTGTTACAATTAGATTAAATTGAAGAAAACGAAAATTCGAACTTCTAAATTTTACAACGGACATTGAATAACTGAACTTAAAAGTGGCTTGTGAGAAAGCTTCAGCCTTAAAAAAATCTGCTACGCGCTCTGCCAAAACAAAATTTCGCATGCCATCATCTTCTGGGAGTGAAAAGAAGTACTAGAATATTCTGGATCAGAAGAAAATATACGGCCTGCATTTATTGCCCTGGACTATAACAGTATGTCACGAAGTAGAGGATGGTGGCTAAGATGCCAAATGTGTCCAAAATGGTGCAACGCAGACTGTATTAGCCTACCCAGAAGTTCAAAAACTGTAATTTGCAATATTTGTAAATAAAATACATTCGTTTTAGATGTATGCCATCTCAGCTATAGGGGATGGGCAAGATGGTGTTTGCAAGGGTTTACGTTTTATTTTTTTGATGTTTGTGTATTTTAATCTAATTCTTATGAAACATTTTTTGTGAGAAATAAAACATATTGTTCCTCAAATGTTTGCGTTTTCTTATCTAAAAAAATATGCCATCTCGGAATACTTTCTCCTATCACAAGCAGTAAATAAAAGTGAAATTCCAAAATCAACTTTAAAAAAAGTCTATTTTTTATTGTAAATTGCATCAAGCCGAAATAAATTTTTTTCGTTTTATTATCTTTAATCTAAGCAAAAACGTTCTTTTTGTCGTTTCAAACTTCTTGTGCAAAATGTATTACCACTAAATTCAGCATTTAAAAAAAAAACTCTCTATTTTCTAAAGGTTTCCTGTAATTTTGGTTATTTGGCAACTATGTGTGATTGTGGTGGCCTAAAATTAAAAGCATCATCGATGACGTATATTGGATTTTATATTGAATTAAGTATATTATTTGAGGTATACTTGAGAACAGTAATGTCATTACTGGTGCTGGTGATGTAATTAGAATGAAAAAAATTAAATGACTAGGAAATAAAAGTTAACTCAATGGAAATAGTTTTATTCCAAATTCAAAAAAGTATCACAGAGAGGGCGCAGGACGATATATCGGTGTTACAGGAATGTAAAATAATAAAAAACTTCAAAGTACAAAAAATAGAGGAGGTTTTGATCTAAGCCAAGGAGTTGAACTCCAATCAGTTACTTATGACCTAATTTGTATTCAGAGATCATATGAAGGATTCGCTTATGGATGCTTATTAAGTTTCTTAGTATTTGAAGAAAACCAGTTCAACTGACACTAATTTACTAGGTTGTTTAAATCTTGTAATATCAGAGCATCGTCATGTTTCCGCAAAAAAAACGGAAACGGAAAAAAAAGTTACAGTACCTATATATGAGAATAAAACATTTAATTATAATTAAAACTCACCCAATGATTTTCCCAGGAATTCATAATGACAGCTGGACCGAAAGACCGAGCTGGGTTAATGCTGGAACCCGTAAATTGGATCTAAAATATATAAAACATTGTTTCATTGAAACCATATCTTAAACTGTTAGTTTTTGAAGCATCTGCCTGTTGTTATAAGTCAGTAGTCAAATCTGTCAGTAGTCATATTTGTCAGTAGTCATATCTGTCATCTGACATTTGTCATACCTATCATATAGTAGTAGCGTTCGGATTATCCAGGAGCTGGAACGGAACAGGGACGGAGTTTTTTTAGGGTGCTTTTAAATGACATTTAAGCGTGTTGAACTGTGACTAATCGGACTAAACCGAACGCTAAAAAGGTCTTACCTAGAGACAGGAAGAAAGAATTGTAGGTAAATTGATACCTAGGTTTTGGAGTGATTTCCAGTAAATTACATATTGGTGACACCCCTGTATTCGACCGATAACGCTCTACCATAAAGAGCTCACGGTAACTGATGAATTTTAATATAGCAACAAGAACCCTTGTTACCGATATAAAGGGTGTTGAAAGTTTGAAATTAAAATTCAAAAACGATTTTAAATATTTTTTTTAAATGTGCTTTATAAGAAAGTAATGTTCTGACATACTAATTTTCAAAAAAATTAACCAGTACACAATGGCTGAAATTTCAAAATTATTGGTACAAAATGGAAATTGAAAATAGTACCTATAGTGTCAGAAATATATTTTGTTGGTTTAAGGTATGAGGGAGATTGGGACACGTCGAATTAAATAATAAATATAGGTACCCAAACAAAAAAAAAATAAAATAATCACTATCATCGTTACACTACTTGAGTACCTAACTCATTATTTTGCAAACATTTTCTTTTTCGACTGTCTGGTTTTTAGGTAACTTTTTGGAAGTAATATTCTAATCATGGATATATTAGGATCAGAAGTGACCAATAAGTTTAATGAAGTTTCTTAATTAAAAGTTTGTCGAAATAAAATTGCTTTTTTAATTATGATTTTTAACATTTTGAATTGCCTAAAGTATCCTTTAATGTACACCAATTAGTTTAATATATTTCAGGAAAATCAAGATATTTTTTTTAATATACATTAAAAAAAAGTTATTTGCCTATCAGTTGATTTTTATAAATTTTGTATTATGTTTTTTTTTTAATTTTGAATCCCTTTAAAAATCCCATTTCTATGATCTTCCCCAAAAATTAATAATGTTTTTCAGACTCACAGTCTTCCAAATCGTGAAAATAATAAGTAGGTAGTATTTTGTGTTAAAACAATAAATATACATATGAGTACGCATTTTGTGTTATTGAAGAATAGTAAAAATTATACATAAGTGACATTTTTTATTGCGATTAGCAAGTATTTGCAGAATTTTTTTATTTGTCTTCTTGCAAGACAATCCATTATATAAGTTAATCACAATAATATGACAGAAATCTACGGAATAATAATCATAAATAAATGTGGAACAACCAGAAACTAAGACAGCTATATAGTTTAATAAACTTAGTAAAAATTTAACAAGTAGTCATAAATGTTAATATAAATTTTAAAGAACCTTACTCATACCTCCAGCTGCAAAACCCATATTATTAAAATAAATATAATATTAAAATAAATAAAACAGAAGCAAATAAAAAACAATTTTTAAATTAATAACAATTATTGCCTTCAAAATACTTAAAGTTAAAACAGTTGTCGCTCAGATGGCGCTATATTTGTAGAGCGGCGGGGCTAATTGATCTAAGTATCAAAAATCGTTTTTCTCATGAAAATAAAAAACTGTCCCTCATTGAAAGCAAACATTTTTTTTTTATTATTAATGGCATAAAATCATTATTTAACACAAGCAGTCAAATATAACATGAAACTTTTAATAAATTATAAAATATTCTTGCAAAAAAAAATTCACATTGAAAATATCTAAGTGCCATTATGTGCTCTCTTAGAAGTGAACTATATTCATGATTTATATCAGTTTTAGGCACCTAGAATTATTCTAAAAACTCCTGGTTCTTCTCAGTTAAATACTCTAACAAAGACTTTTTTCTTTTCGAAGTCAAGGGTACTATATCAGGTAAACTTGACAGTTTAGCTGACCTGATATGGTGAACGTTGTATGCCATTTTCAGTACACGACATCTCTCCCATTGCAACAACTCACTAAAACGAGGCCTGGCTAATGCCAAGTTTTGATGTGTCAATAGTCGTTTTCTTTTTACAAGCATTCTTGACTAACTAAAAGTTAGATTCTGATCTAAGCTTAACAGTAAAAAGAACGCGAATTTTGGCTGACAGGTGACGTGCCCCATGTCATCCGTTTAAAAACAATCCATATTTTAATCAAATTTTATAATTTTTTCAACAATCAACACTACAAATCTCACCCCCTGCTATCATAGTCTTTTATTCTCTCTAAAATAATGAATTCATGGGATATGTTTGTTCATATGATGCACAGAACACTCACTTTCAGTGATGGTTTATGGTTTACGTCAAGTACCATGCACCTTAGCATCGGTAAGGGGGGAAGAAAGATTCTGACTTACAATCACAAAAAGAACGCACAACTAAGCCTAGACGATCTAATAGCGGATTCGACTGGCTGCATTAATGCGCATTTAATTCGACTTTTTTAAGTGGTGTTTGTTCGACTGACAGAACCTAATTAATTAAATGCCAATTATTGCATTCGACTGAAATTACTCGGTACCAAGGCATAGTGAAATTTTTGTTCGACTGGCAGTCGCTCTTGCTCAAAGTTCGAATTTTTTGGAACTGTACTTTTTTTCAGTGCCAGTGTCATTTTGGAGGTTAGGAATTATTTAATATTTTTAAATATATTACCATGTTTCTCTTTATTATTAGTGATAATGGAAAATCTTTGAAATTAATAGAGATATAATTTTTGGTTTGGCAACTATAAATAAATATCGTTAAAAATTTGTTAGAAATCTGAAATTTCAAGTGCTAACTCTGCCAGTCGAATAACGATAGAGACGCGCTACACCAATGTCGAACTCTAGCTCTTGATTGCTGTGTGCACTGCTAGATATAAATTTGAATTATAAAAATGCTGCCCAAAATCAATTCAGAACCGAAAGCGCTTTGTCATCGAGCAAGAGCATTTGAGTCGAATCCGCTATAAGTTAGCTCAGATTAGTGGTAAAAAGAAAGCGACAATTAATAAAAACATATTCTCCCATATCTATGTTCTGTTTTTAAACTAGGAGGAGCGATTTGAAGTTTGTAATTCTGTAGACTCTTGATTGGTCAGGATGCAGTCAGTTTCACATATCACTTTTTAACATTAACGTCGCAGCTAATTCAATTACTGACAATTATTGACAGTTCTGACATTTTATATTTTAAATTTTATTATTGTTTTTATCCCTTTGATATCTCATCATGATTACTTATTTTTTTACTTTTTTACTTTTTTTCGTTAATAACAGTTCTTTTCAGAACTTCAGTAAGCAATTGTATTGAATTTCTACGATTATGGGTCATTCTACACCGAGTATGGATAGCAGTTCCTGAAAAGCCATACAAGACGATAGATTACAATGAAGAGATGAGTTCAGAAGTATTTTATAAAAAAAAAACTAACCTTATTACTGACTCAATTCCGGCAGCATTTTTATAATTTGATAGCGGATTCGACTAGTTTTTTAAGTGGTTTCTGTTCGACTGGCAGAACCTAATTAATTAAAAGTCAATTATTGCATTCAACTCAAATTGCTCGGTACCAAGGCATAGTGAAATTTTTGTTCGACTGGCAGGCGATCTTGCTCAAAGTTCGAATTTTTTGGAACTGTACTTTTTTTCAGTGCCAGTGTTATTTTAGAGGTTAGGAATTATTTAATTATTTTTAAATATATTATCATCTTTGTTTTTATTATTAGTGAGAATGGAAAATGTTTGAAATGAATAGAGATTTAATTTTTGGTTTGGCAAATATAAATAAATATCGTTAAAAATTTGTTATAAACCTGAAATGTCAAGTGCTAACTGTGCCAGTCGAATAACGATAAAGATGCGCTACGCCAATGTCGAACTCTAGCTCGTGCTTGCTGTATGTGGGTACTGCTAGATATAAATTTAAATTATAAAAATGCTGCCCAAAATCAATTCAGAACTAAAATCACTTTGTCATCGAGCAAGAGCATTTGAGTCGAATCCACTATGAAAGTATATAAAGCAATGCACGCTCTGAGTGCGAACCAGTTTGTGCATCATTTTATCGATATTCGACTGGTTGGTACAGTTGACATTTCCAGTTTCTAACCTTATTTTAACGGTAGTAGCTACTTATGAACTTATGGGTGGTCTAAATCTTTTTTATAGAAGTTTGCATTTTGAAATTTGGTATTTAAACATTCCATATGAATTTTTGTTCATCCTGAAGTTTCTTTTGAACTGTGAAAGGTTTATTAATATTCATATAAAGTAATAATTTAAATTTGCTTCTTTTTTAAAAAATTTTTCCACAACTTATTCTATATTCTTCGTCAATTTTTGTTTTAAACATTTTATATAACTCTTCTATCTATATCATCGCTAATATCTTCATCTTCACATTAATGGATAATAGGTAACATATTTTAAAAACTGAAAATAAATCAACGGCGATATTGTATTTCATTTGACAGTTTGTTCTAAACACGTTTCATATCACAATAAAGTGAAATTTACTATAGTTGTTTTGAACCAATAAAAAATCGCGACACCTATGACATTTATTCGCTCTTGACCGTTTATTGGCCGGCGTCGATTAGGGCCGATAATGACAACTATTTCATGGATTATGAACACGACTATATTTCAAAACACGCTCTTAGTAACGAATCTAGTTACTTTTCCCTGTGTAAATGTGTCATTTCAATTCGCTCCTCCTAGTTTAAAAAAAGTATGGTACCTTGAAGGGATATGTCGGTTTTGTAACGATACATTTCTTTACGTCTTAAACATTATTTAATTTTAAAACTCTTCCACGTTTCTGTACAATGGCAATGTCACGATCTAAAACAGAGAAACTGTGTCCCGAAATTAAAAATGTTGAACTTGTCAGTGGCTACGAGGAATTTTAAAACTCTTCCATGTTTCTGTACAATGGCAATGTCACGATCTAAAACAGAGAAACTGTGTCCCGAAATTAAAAATGTTGAACTTGTCAGTGGCTACGAGGAAAATGAACAAAAACAATAACATCCGATTTTTCAACTGCCCAGCATAGTTATCACTACATACGCAGAATGTGCGTTTATAGGTGGCAAAAGTCCATTGGTTTCCTGGTTTCCATCTGGACCAAACTGCCCTCCATGCCAGACGCACATAATTCCATCAGTAGTGTCAGTAACATGGATGCTGAAGTTGTAGCACGACAATCAGCGACTATAATGCGTACTAGTGTGTGTAAGTTTCGAGAGGGCAAACACTTTTTGTAAATCTATAGTCACGGTACAGGTGCCGCTTTCTGGTAAAGTGCTATTTGCAGCATCGTACTTTATAGCATTTTGATTTCAAGTAGAGGGAGTCACACGTCTTACACGTATTAACTGGCGGTTTTTAAAAAGCTGACTTGGGAAAACCCTGAAAAACTGATCAATAAAATACTGGTAGGATTCGACACGTTTCTGTTTAGCCATTAGTGGCATTTAGACCTGTTAGACGTGCAACGAATCACGCTCTAAGCAGTTGAACGCTATTCGACAGCCTATAAAACAAAAAGTAAAGCGCATTGACACTTAAATCATCTAGCTATGCATTGGTCTTGACACATATATTATTTTGGTGAAATAATCTTGATTTACGAAATATTGGCACTTAGATCAATTAGCCCCACTGTAATTCCAGTTTTTAGATTTTGGCTAAGTTTTTGAAAACAAAAAACCATCAGGGTTAGAGGCAATTGTTATCCCTATTTTTACGCCATTGGAACAAATATATATTTTTTATTTTTTTATAAATGCCCTGTTCATTTTAATTTAAAAAAGTAATTACCTTTTTTAAAAATGAACGGTATTATAGAAATTTGCTTTTTAACAAAAGTCTGCATATACTTAGATAATTTGTAACGACTCAATATTTCTAAATTCTAATCTAGTAGTAGGATTGCTACCTTTTTGAAACGTAAATAAAGGACAACGGTGACGACAAGGATCCGGTTCATATTTTTGACGAGCTATTTAAAAAAAGAACCTCATCAGTTATTTTAATAAACCCCTGGTCCTTCTGCCGAGCTTCTAAAAAAAGTCCTCGGCTTATATTTTTATAAAACCCAGGTCCGTTTAAAGGACATGTGCCGTAAAAAAGTCATTTTAAGCTTTAAAAAGTAACAAGAACAATTTGTTTCCAAAAAGGGCAGGTGACATATTCTTAATAATTCGTGTATTTGAGAAGATCTAGATAGATCAAATTAAAAACAAAAATACGTTTTTGATTTATGACAAATTTTGAATTTTGATTTAAAACTTTTGACCCTCTGTGTCTCGACAAATAAGCCCTTTAAGGATTCATATTCCTATATCAAAATCCATCAACTAAGAAGAGCCTTCAGGGGTAGAAAGTTGTGGGTCGAATATAGTGACACCCTGTATTTGTTATGGATCTACATAGATGGTACTTACACCGACCAAATGAGCGGCAACTACGGCTAACCCGATAGCTAGTGGAGCAGATCCTTTGATGTCTTTCCTGTACGAGTCGCACACTCCGTGTATGACGAAGATTAACAGGAACGTCAAGATGGCTTCCATGATCATACCCTGTACTGGTGAAAGTGATTTGTCACCGATACTTGTTACTCCGAATCCTCCTACCCTCTCGTCTGGAACTATTAACTAAAAAAAAAAATTATAATAGTATATCTTCAAAAAAGTTAAAAATGTTAGTTATGCATATACATCTTACATCTTGCACCTTAGATCATATTAAACTATAGCTGTAACACCTTTAAGTCATATTATATGCTACGTGTATACAGTTTGGAACGGCCAAATGGAATAAATTCGGTAATAAATAAAGAACCGTGCTTAACAGCCGAGTAGACAACAACAAGCTAATTTAAAAACCAATTTAGAACGGCAGCAAGAAAATCTAAAAACCAATTTACGGAACCTAAAAACGAATTTAGAACAACAACAAGAAAATCTAAAAACTAATTTAGAGCAACAACAAAAGAATTTAAAGACTAATTTAGAACATCAACAAGAGAATTCAAAGACTAATTTAGAACATCAACAAGAACAAGCTAGAATAGAGTTGGAAAGGCAAATTATAGCTGAAATGACCGAGTAAGAGAGAAAAATTTGTAGCCAAGCTTCTGTAAGCAACATTCATGCTGAAAACACTGCCTCATCTTCACCTGTAACCGACCCAAGCCGTATTCAAACCCCAGTCTCACAAAATTATAGTAGCAAGATCCTAAAACCACCCACGTTTGACGGTCAGACAACATGGGAAACGTATCGACTCCAATTTGAAGCTGCAGCTAGAGCCAATGGCTGGGCCAAGAAAGAGATGGCGGCTTCATTGACAATGTCACTACGAGGCCAGGCAGCAACCGTTTTACAGTTACTTCTCCAAGACGAACGCAGTTATTCATCTCTTTTGGAGTGAGGGTGAGTAGTAGGGATTAAGTGTAAGGGTTAAAGAAAAGGTCCTTTATTTCTCACAAGTCAATTTAATTGGCGACCGGTTTCGAATATGTCACTTTATCATCAGGCACACCAAAATGGAATGTCAAGGAGTCAGTTGTAATAAAAAACAATTATAAAAGCATGAACGGACTTTAACATATACAAAATAACAGAAAAAACACAAAAGAAGTTAAACAATAACCTTGACTCACCTTGACTATTTCCATAAAGGAAGCGCTACTAAAAGTTTAACAAAACGAGTTAAAAAAGTCATATGTAATACAATAATATTTTTTAAAAATATTGTAGGTTAGGTTAAACCGCGAGATGTCTGTTTGAATAAATTAATTAAAACACATGTAAGACTATTATTAACTAAACAACACAAAATAGTTTTTACAAGCACAAACAGTTTAAAAATTTTTTTTAAAGATATAACGTCAATTAATAAAAGTAAAAAGTAAAAATTTATCAGACTCTCAAGATATCTATCTAGATTTTTTTTTTAACGAATCAATGTAGTAAACTGTAAATTTTAAATTTAGCGGATAAATAGTGTACTAACAAAGGTGTTATTTACTGAAAGTGAGTATAGGGGGCGGTGAAAATTCATATTTTCTTGTTTAGTGTTCTAATTTTCTTGTTAGTATTTTTTGCTTTCTCATTTCCCAGTTTAATATTTTTACTTTCATTAAATTTTGTCACCGCCCCCTATACTCACTTTCAGTAAATAACACCTTTGTTAGTACATTATTTATCCGCTAAATTTAAAATTTACAGTTTACTACATTGATTCGTTAAAAAAAATCTAGATAGATGTCTTGAGAGTCTGATAAATTTTTACTTTTTACTTTTATTAATTGACGTTATATCCTTAAAAATTTTTAAACTGTTTGTGCTTGTAAAAACTATTTTGTGTTGTTTAGTTAATAATAGTCTTACATGTGTTTTAATTAATTTATTCAAACAGACATCTCGCGGTTTAACCTAACCTACAATATTTTTAAAAAATACTATTGTATTACATATGACTTTTTTAACTCGTTTTGTTAAACTTTTAGTAGCGCTTCCTTTATGGAAATAGTCAAGGTGAGTCAAGGTTATTGTTTAACTTCTTTTGTGTTTTTTCTGTTTTTCTGTTATTTTGTATATGTTAAAGTCCGTTCATGCTTTTATAATTGTTTTTTATTACAACTGCCTCCTTGACATTCCATTTAGGTGTGCCTGATGATGAAGTGACAGCTTCGAAACCGGTCGCCAATTAAATTGACTTGTGAGAAATAAAGGACCTTTTCTTTAACCCTTACACTTAATTCATCTCTTGTCCAAGCTTTGGAGACAAGACATAGCCAGGAGCATTTAAAACAGGTATTTCAAAGCCAGCTAAAAGTTCGTAGTTGGAAACACAATGAGAGTCTACAAAAATTTGAAGCCGATATTAAAAGATTGCTGTATCTGGCCTATCCACAAGCACCTAAAGATTTCTTAGAACAAATCGGTATGCAAGCATTCATTGATGGACTACAGGACGTCGAAATGTAGCAGGCTCTTCGGCTACAACACCACAAGACATTGAGTGAGACACTTATTGGATCCCAGGAGTATGAAGCAGCAAAAAGTATATCTAGATCTTCTCGCGCAAAATTGAGAGAAATTCGATTTCAAGAAAGTGAAGAGGCCACTACTAATACTATCCCTTAACCTACCCTCTCACAGATCTTAAATATCCTGCAAAGTATGTAACGGAATAGCCAAAATGAAAGCAGATTATGCTTCAATTGTGGAAGAATTGGACACCTCCAAAGAAGTTGTCGAAGCAGGGTTCGTTCTGCAAATCGAGAAACGGGGAATGATACCAGAAATTAACCTAGATCAACCTCCCGAAGCCCGTCACGAAATCCATCAAGAAATAATTACAGCAGATATGCCTCCCGGAGAAGCCGGTCACCCACACCTAGTCGGCTTTCTAACAGTAGTCAGGAAAACGAATAAAGGTCGCTACTACGGGGTAGTCGTCGGCTGTAACAGAGGGCTCTAAAATTCGCACTTACACCTTAAATAAAAACGAACAAAATCTATTGGTCAAGGGGTATATCGATAACCAAGAAGGCAACTTCTTGATACTGGTGCAACTACTCGTAAGTCTTTTATTCGAACAGGGATCCTGCATCGAAAACCACGACCAACTCGAAGAAGCTTAGTTCTAAAAACAGCCACAAGGTACACTACTCATGTTCCAGGTGAGATATCAGCAACCGTAAAGATTGGTAATACCCTGATAGAACGCCTATTTCTGGTGACCGATATAAAGGATCAGTGTGTCCCTGGTATGGACATGCAAAATAAGTTTATCATAGACCTTCAAAACAAGATTTTGGTAATTGGAAACGAGGAATTTGTCAAATTCGGAAAAAAGGAACCGATAAAGGTCCTAGTGGAAGAAGACAGAGAAGTACCCCAAAATTCTGAAGCTGTCGTCTCGGCGAGACTTAGCGAGAAATCACACGGCTTGCATGTGGGCATTGTAGAAAGTGAAGAATCCGTGAGTGACAGAATTCTGATAGCTAGATGTCTCGTTAACGTTGATCAACTAATTCCAGTAAGGGTTGCCAATTTAACGAAGAGACCATTCAAACTGAAGAAAGGACAAGCAATAGGGCTCTGTACACCGGTGAAAAACATAATCAAGTGCAAAGACTGTTCCACTGGAATAGCCAACACAAGTAACTTTGTTAAACAGCTAGTTAAGAACTACGACCACCTAACAGCTGAAAAAACTTGTGTAACAATATCATAAAAGTCACTAATAACGGTTGTTTTTATTAAATTTCTTGTTTTACCAGATCCCTTTGGATACCTTCGGTTATCGATGAAGACTGGTTACTTTTATTTAAATACTGATTTTTCATTTACTTACTTTTAATAGACCTGACCCACCAATTGCTCCGACGCACTGCACGACCACGTAGCAAACTGCCTTGACTAGTTTGACATCTCCAGTAAGAAGAAGACTGAATGTGACAGCTGGATTTATGTGACAACCACTGATGTGTCCGATTGCCTGAAAATAAAAAAAAATTAAAAGAATGGTTACTCATTAAAACATTGTAAAAATAATTTAACTTTTTAAAATCTATACAGGGGGAGAGTAAAAAGAACGGGACTAGTAACTGAAGAATCTTGAGCACTAGTATTTGTGTGTGAAGCATTTTTAATCTTACATGAAAAAATCATATTCCAAAAGAATTATTACTTTTATATACCTAATTAAAATGACTATTATTATCATATTTCGCTGCAAACCTCTTTATTTCTTTTTCGACTATTAGAATTTTCTGGTCTCTATGATAGAACCAAAGAGCATCAACGATGCACATCGCCAATATCCAGAATGGTTTTAAGGTAACATTTCGAAACGCGCGACAGACGACATCAGAAGCGACAGCAAAGGAGATCGATACATTTACGTTACGCTTCACACATTTGGAAGCAGAGAATACTTGAATTAGCAGTTACATAAACATCTTCTGTACTTCTTTTTAGTTACTTCCTGTGACAAATATTTATACGATGTTAATTTTTATAAATCACAATAATATCGCATACAGGTCAGCACAGTAATGTATACAAGTTACACATCTTTAAGCTGGCTATCTTTAGTCTTTACATCGCAGATCTGGCAGACCTAACAGTTCGTCCCGCATTCATAGATGGAGATACCAATGATTGCTTGCTACTTATGTAACTGGTGGTATTATGGAGCAGTCTGTTGCCCAGTAATAAATATTTCATCAAAGTTCTTACTTTTACCTTTGATATTAATTTAGGCCATTGTATTATCATACTTTTTCTGTAAAATTTTCTGGAATTAGAAATTAGAAGTTTAACTTGTATTCTAAGCTTTTAACTTCAAGTTTATTTATTTTTATTCTGTTTTATATAGATGAAATAAAATATTTATATAACATGGTCCATATAAAATTTATAAGACAAAGATAAAAATAAAAAGGTATGAACTGTTATCATATTTGGAACGTCACATTTGGTTCATTAATATGATTTTATTTTATGGTCTTTTATAATACCATTTACAAGAAAAGACTTTCTTGGATATATCAGGAATATTACATATCTGGTTTGTTAAAAAGACGTCATTTTTGGGAACTTCCAATAACGTTGAATAACGTAACAAGGTAGCGTTGTAATATCACCGCAAAGTCTACATTGTTTCATCACAAAAGTAAACGTCCCTACTCTGGGCTTAGACGGATATGAGTCCGTCCTACAGATGAAAATAAGAGTAAAAATGAGAGTTACATTGTAACAATATAATGTAAAGTTCTCATTAATTTAACGTTTTAATGCATAATGGATTTTTAAGTAGATCCACTGCTTTTGTCTCGGTTCTCCTGTTTTAGGCATGAAATATACTGTTTTCGCCAACTTAACAAATTTTGTTCTTAATGTATTAAGTTTGCCTCATTTTTCAGCAAATGGTCGAGGAATATTTTCTCCAGTAAATTTTCTAAAGTAAAAGCAACTTAATAAGCAGCCACTACTGTAGGTATGGTCCATAAAAAAAAGTTTAAGAAAATCATTATGTTTTTATTTAAAATGCAACAAAGAACTAATAGGGCATCATAAAAAGAACAAGCATGCCAAACACAACGTATTTGAATTATCTGATTCAGACTGATCTAAAATACCTATTATTTTTCATTGTTTTTTTTTTGTTTCCGTACGTTAAGTATATATTAAAAATGTTATTATTTGTTTTTATTCTTTGTTTATTTTTTAATTTGGGTAGAAAAATGTTTATTTTTGGTTTCTTATATATTTGTTTTTTTATTTACTACACTATAAATTATAATTATTTCCCCCTGTATTAAAATCTACTGTTCAGATGTACGGTTTTTTTTTTTACCCATACTGTTCAAGAAAATTTTCATCTGGTAACACTGCCTAGATCAAAAGAACTTTGCAACTACCATTTCTATAAAATATCGACTAATCACCTCGAAATACAAGCGATGACTGAGTACTGAGCGCGACAGACAACAAACGCTCTACCCCGAGACTGATCTACCTGTCGTCGACTTTTTGTCTCTCGCACTCGTCGCGTCTTGCGAAATGTGTTTCATATAATTGCATTAGTTCAGACGTGAAGAGACCGTTCTTGGTCTCCTTTGCTGTCGCTTCTGCTGTTCTGCTGTCGTATGTCATCTGTCGCGCGTTCCGAAATGGTGCCTTTAGGCGTGGTTTATAAATCAACAGTTTATTGTACACTGGTAGCTTGGATTTTCTCCTAAGAGCTAATACATTTTGTTTAATTTTAGATCAAGTTCTTTACGCGTCTTTTTTGTAGGCTTTTTCGATTTAAATCGGGCATCTACGTTCGTTCTTAGATATTTGGCCGAATTGTGATGTGAACTAATATTTATTCTTGTTTTTCTTCGTTTTTACGAAGAGTAAAATCAACAGAGACTGATTTATTTTCCAATTTTTATCCATCGATAGGTTCTGTTGCAGGTTTCCTGTAGTTTTTCTAAGGTCTCTGTATTATTCCAACTGCCAATATTATAGTTTTGCTATTTTAACATATTGTTGTTGAGGGATATCGCTGGTATATAATAAGTATGTTGATTATTGATTAAAAAATGTTGAGAAAAATGACTAACTGTCAAATACCTTCGTTAAAATAGTCCTGTGGGCACACTGATAATGGAATTACAAAAATGTAAACTTTAAAAAAATTATATTTAAAAAAAAGTCTATTTTATATTAGTTGCTTACTAAAAATAAGGTCGATTTTTTAAAAATGTAACAATATAAAAAAGTTGTGTTTTAGAAAATGTCCAGTTTTAAAAAATGTCGAGTTTTTAAAAATGTCGAGTTTTTAAAAATGTCGAGATTTAACAATGACATGATTTAAAAATATCGACTTTTCAAAATGTCTAGTTTTAAAAAAATCGCATTTTAAAACTATCAACTTTATGAAAATTAGGCTCTTTTAATCCTGTAACTGTTCCAATTACTATATCATAATATATTTTTTTATTTTCGAATCAGTATGTGATAATTAACTCTAATCGGAACAAAACAAACAATTTTTTGTATGTAATCAAAGCCGTTTGCGTAACGGAAGCGAAAACAATAAAAATAATAATAAACTCAGGTCACGCTTTAATTGTTAATAAAATGCAACTACTTATTGTTTAAGTGCTCTGTAAATAAAAAAAAAATGGTTAGCCTACTGTCGCATGTATTTATGTATATAGATAATATTTACAATAGAAATCAAACCGACTCATTTCTTATCATTCCTTATCAAATTTATTATCCATAAATTCATAAATTTTTAAAGGTATGTGGATGATATAGGCGAAATCAAATTTTATCGCTAGCTAATATTTACGTATGTTTCGAGTGCGTAAAGTTGATATTTATGACTGGTGCGTTCGCAAACGTGAAGGTAGAGACACGAGGCGTTAATTGAGGCAAAAAATGACATGGTAGAAAGTCTCATTTTCAATTTTTGTCAATGTAAAAGCAGAATAGGTCATAGCTTGGATGAATTGTTTTATACACCAATGACATTATCGTTTTTTTTTTTTGACCTCAAGTTTTCAAGAAGGAGAGAACTGCTTTTATTCTTAAATGGTAAATGATTAAAAGTAACAAAAATTAAATAAAAATACTAAAATTAATTATGGTCTTTTATTCTTTCAGATGGTATTATTATGGTCGTTATAAATATCACAGTTTTTAAAAATATTGCACATATTTATACACTTCCCCAATAAATTAACGCACCATCAAAAAATAACAAAAAGTTTAAAGTAAATATTTGTTAAACCACTAATTTATAGCGTGTAGAGTGCAACAGTTACATTATCAAGTTAGAATTAATAACTCAATTTTATGACTTAACATCACTTTATTCATTTTCATTGCCATTATAAGCACTAAAGTAAGTAGCATGCTATGGAAAAAACAGTAATGCGTAATGTCACTATTAGTACATACGTCATTTTTTGCCAAATATTTTATTAATCAATATGTTACGAAATCTTACTTGCGAAGAATGTGCTCAAGCTATAATATTGTTTGAAGAGGGTGACGAAGAATTGGTGAATGATTTGACGTAACTCACACAATCGTTTCACGAGTTATACGAAGATATAGAAAAACTGGAAATCAGGATCGATTTTTTTTAGACTGTCAGCATTAAGACAACATTTTGTAAAAGCTCAGACCCTTTAAACCCAGCTTCGGGGTGCTAACGATTTAGAAGTTGGTACAGAAACTGTTCGTCAGCCACTAAGGGAACATAATTTGAGGCCTACAATAGCAGCTCTAACTGGAGTTCATCGCAGAGCGAGAATACATTTTGCTAGGGAGCATCGTAACTGATTAGAGGCTGAATGGCAATAGGTATTATTTACTGATGAGTCTTGATTTGTTTGTATAACAATGACAGGCGTATGCGCGTATATAAACGCTCTAATGAACGGTCGCACGGAACTTGTAATCCAAAATGGAAGCCTTACAGCTAACAGGTACATATTGGAGATTTTAGAAAAACATGTAATGCAACTTGACTATATATTGGACAAGGATTTTTGTTGATGCAAGATAATACCAGGCCTCATGTTGCTCGAGTTGTGAGAAATTATATAGAGGAAGTCGATATCGCTACCATGGCATGGCCAGCTCGGAGCCCGGATTTAAATCCGACAGAACATCTTTGGGATACTCTTGGGAGGAGATTTCGTTTATCAATCCGCTCCTAAATGCTTCAGTAGCTCTCGAAGTGCGGAGATGTTGGCACGTCGCGTTTTCAACCGATACGTAAGAAACTTTTATTTGATTGCCAAAGTAACTTATATTGTAATTTTCTCATTATTCTTGGGATTGTACGTTGGGGTAAGATGTAACAAATTATTTGGGATACATTGTAACTTAATACAACATACCCCGTGCTATAAGATACATTTTGTTGTTTTTATTTGCAGTATGAGGAACTACAAGAAAAAAAGTGAGAGGGAGCAGACACCCAAA